CTCCAGGGCACAGCGGGTTGGACAGGTCACAGCGAGGGACATCCTCTTGCGGGGGTTTCTCCACCTGCCCCTGCCAGGGACGCCTCATCCGGTGGGCGGACACCAGCACCCAGTCATCCCGCAGGGGGTTGTAGCGGACATGCTGGTGCTCTGGGGAGAGGAAGGGAACAGAGACGTGACCGCGGCGGAACCTGCTGGGCTGGGAAATGCTCTTCTAAGGGGCCAACGCCTCCACGCAGAAACACCTGCAGCTAAAGTCTGTGTTGATCATCCCCACAGCCCAGACACCACTCCAACCTGCACAGGCAGACGGGGAGGGTGTCTAGGTAAAGAGCAGCAGAGGAGCCTGCTACCTCCAGCTGCTGAGAAGAGGGAATGCACTGGGATTCCTGACCCCGGGCCCTGCCCTGGGGCTCCATCTTTCACAGCCCCTGGCTAGTAGACGTCAGATCAGTCCAAAGCCACCACAGCCCCCCCACGACTACCCCACCCCCATTCTCCTGAAAAGCAGGTGGGGGCAGAGGCTGGGTGCTCACGGGTTTGTTTCCAGATCGTGCTCCCAGCACGGCTGCTGCTCAGAGCTCTCTCCAGCAGCCCTGGGCAGGATGTCATTCCTGGCATCACCCCGGCCCACAGGGCTCTGACCTGTTTTATTACCAGTAGGGACCTACCAAATTCACCGCCATGAAAAACCCGTGAAATCTGGTCTTTTGTAGGCTTTTACCCTATACTACAAAGATTGCACAGGGGAGACCAGTGTTTCTCAAATTGGGGGTCCTGTCCCAAATGGGAGTTGTGGGAGGGGGGGTCACCAGGTTATTTTAGGGGGGTTGCGGTATTGCCACTCTTACTTCTGCACTGACTTCAGAGCTGGGCGGCCGGAAAGCGACGGCTGTTGGTTGGGCGCCCAGCTCTGAAGCAGCAGAAGGGGACAATACCAAACCATGAGTCATCACAGAACCTAATTTCCCCCTACTGTTACTCACACCTTCTTGTCAATGTTCGAAATGGGCCACCCTCATTACCACTAGAAAAGTGATTTTTCCTCCCTTGGTATTCTACTGTTAATTGAATTGTCTCGTTAGACTGACCCCCCACCTGGTAAGGCAACTCCCATCTCTTCATGGGCTGTGTATATATACATACCGGCTCCTGTATTGTCCACTCCAGGCATCTGATGAAGTGGGTTCTAGCCCACGAAAGCTTATGCTCAAATACATTTGTTAGTCTCTAAGGTGCCACAAGGACGCCTCGTTATTTTTGCTGATACAGATTAACACGGCTCCCACTCGGAAACCCAATACCATACCTGCCATCCTTAGCTGCTGCCTTCAGAGCTGGGCTCCTGGCCAGCGGCCGCTGCTCTCCAACTGCCCAGCTCTGAAGGCAGAGCCGCCACCAGCAGCAGTGCAGAAGTAAGGGTAGCAGTACCGCAACCCGCCCCCACAATAGCCCTTGTGGACCCCCTGCCCCACAACTTCTTTTTGGGTCAGGACCCCTACAATTACAACACCGCAACATTTCAGATTTAAATAGCTGAAATCATTATGTTTAAAATCTTATGACCGTGAAATGGACCATGAATTGGGTAGGGCCCTAATTGTTGCCAGCAATTTCCTTCCAAGCCTAGCCATGTTTGGTTCTACAAGCCCCAGCTTCCGGAATCAGGTGAGAACATGAGACCCTCAGCTTTCATTTAAGAAAAACGAGGAAGGTTTCAGTCCTCCCAGCTGCGGAGAAAAGCTGGCTATGTGACACCGCCCGAGCTCAAAATCCAGAAAGAACCTACAATTTATTATTTTTAATATCTCATGATTTTAGGGGCCTGCTTCATGAAGGTCTGGGGCTAGCGATGCAGCAAACAATTGCAGTGGAAATAGCCTGGCCTGGCTAATTTCACTCTACTGCTGCAGACAATGGGGTGCCTGAGGGATATGGCTGGTCCACAGAGGGTCCCATGTGAGGAGGAAGAGGGAGGTCTCTTGACAAGCCCTGAAGCAGTCTGCCCCTTTGGAGGGGCCTCACTCCTGTTAGTCCCACAGCCCCTTCGCTCCACACAAAGGACCTCACGTTTTAATGGGGGAATAAAATCCTTCCTCATTGCTGTTCAATGAGCTATGTTGGAAAAACAGACC